CACAATTTCCGCCATCATCGTTTGACCACCTTTCGTTACGAAGTTGAGCCTGCTACTTACCGCACTCAGAATTTTTGAAGGATATGCTTCCTATGCCAAGTATAAGGTGAAGATTATGACTTTTACTTATGTCACTGCTTTGAACGATATGCTTATACTCAAAAAGCAAAAGCATTTACTTCAAATTATTATAAATACCAACCGGAGGATTTCTTTCAAAATTTGCAAGTATAAGATTTCGTACTTCAGAATTTCTCAACAAGGAAAAAGGGGCGTTATTATTATAATTCGAAGATTTGTCAACGGGTCGGATTTGTATGGAGAATGAGATATAGTTTGGCTTTATCGGAGTCAAGTGCTATTCAAAACAGCTAAATGATTTGCAATGTGAAAGGAGTCACCTACTTGTTTTGGTTTCTTCCATTTCAAGCAAACAGACAATGTGTATTTAGCCTAGAAATAGTTTCGAAGCACCTTGCAACGTATTTTCCAAGAAGATGCATTTAGAAGTAATAACTCCACCTTCCTTTTTCTTGAAGATGGCACTAACCCTCCAAGCGAAGATTGCCCCATATCCTCCCTTTCAATAGTTGTTAGATTTCTAACTTTCATAGATTCTCAACACAGAGAAAACTAATATCATGACTTACGGAAACCGTGCAAGAGGTGGCAACGCTGACACCTAAGAACACTGATCGACGCGTATATGAATAAGTGGTTGATGGCGCCACGGTAGATAAGCTTATTATCGCATAGACACGGTTTTTAATTGAGTGGGGAATGGATAGTTATTATTATATATTTTTTATGATCTTCGATAAACTACCAAAAGAAAACTGGCTCAACTAGAGCAAATAACTTTTTATTTATCTTTATCCCTGGAACTAACTTTTGTAGTTGGCTAAATTCTTATAGATTCGGCAACAGCGCGCCCTTCATCTGTTTATTCAATTGTTTAATATAGAATGTGGGAGATGGATCTCCTGCATCTATAGAGGGCGGGTTATAGCGTTTTTCCTATAACCTACAGTCTTTGATTCTTTACTATAGTCGAAATCACGAAAGTTGACGATTACGTCATCATTTTAGTCTGTAGTAAAGACAAACGACAGCAATTTGTGAATATATTTAATGACGTTTCTGATATGTTAGACAGAGACAAACAGAATTTTATAGTCTAAACAAACTGTATTGCTATTTTGCATGTATCCGACAAAGATAGATGATGTTTTCATGTTGCATGATCGATCATATTTGAAAGATGAATAGTTAGGTTAGGTTAAAGCAAGTTATGTTGTTTGCGAATAATACTTTGATCTTTGGTGTTCCTGTCTTAACTGTTTTTTTCAAAACCAAAACTTCCCACTAAAATTATTATTAAGGCATCACTAAAAACCATGAAACAAAATGAAAATAAAAATAATCACTGAAATAACCTAACTTCGCAAAATCATAATATTCATTTGTTGTCATTATGTTTCTGACTCGTGATTTTATCATCGACGTACGTCCATTGATTACTTCAGTACAATTTATGGTATGACGTAATAGTCATCTTTCAGGATTTTGACTATAGTAAATTATTTTACTAATCAGCCATGCTGGTCTTCCACGGGGATCGGCAGGGTTATTACGTAAATTAAAAAGTGACATGTAGACTTTATCAAATTTTTTGAAATTATATAGGTTTTTTACGTAATAACCCAGTGATATTGCCCATTTTTCCTCTCCCCATACTCACCCAGTCCACGGTATCAAGGACCACAGTGCTTTATTCGGTGATAGTAGCAGACCGCTTTTTATAAATGAGCTAAGAAGGAATATATTCGTAATGCCAGTTCCCCGACTGGAAGACTTCAACTACAGTTGAATATGTCAACGACCCATATTTCTCAACGGGTGACTATACAGGGTGTCCTAAAAGTTGGGACTCATTTGGTGAGGAATTTCAGATACTGCCCTGTCACAAGTTTTTAAATACTACTTGAGATTGTCGCTGTTCGATTCAAACATATGAGTTTGTTTACTTCTTCCTAAATTTGCAGTACTTGGGGCTTGGTGTTTTACTGTGTCCACCCAAACATACGATGGTCTGATTCGTAATACACTCGCGGAGTATTAATAGAATTTTGAAGACGCTCATAGTAAACACACATGAAATCGACAGTTTCGGTTTGTAAACAGACTAGATTTAACCTCACACCGAGCATGGTTTGATTTGGATACTGACTCATATAGTATCATAAAACGTACCTTTCGACGTAAGAGTGGAAGAAGGCAGGGTCGGGCTGGCCCATTTGGAGTTTTTCGGAACGTACCATCTCGGTTATTTTAAGGCTTTAGTATACGTAAACGACGTATACGAAAAAATTAATGCCCGACCTAAAAGCGCTGTAAAGAAAAGTACCGACTCCGAGAAAACACTTGATACCATCAAACAACGGGTTGCGGCCATAACTTTTTTGCTAATAGTCAGATCTTTGTACGTGTGGTCTCATTTTGTAGGTCTGATAAATACCTAAAAATCTTAGATAAAGAGTGTTATCGTTCCTGCAAACACTTTCCATTGAGTCCCAAAAAACACGTTTTCTCATTCTTTGGTGTCGAATAGAAAGTTTTCCCACAAAAATTGGTGTACCCATGCGTCCATGTTTTGAATACCCCCTTGCACAACTTGCAGCGATACAATTATTTCGCGAACCAGGGTATTTTCGTCTAATATGATTAGACTGTAACTAAACATCTAAAAATTCACATACAAGACATGGTTAACGGTGAAGGTACACACAGATACCCTGTCAGACAATAATGCATTGAACATGGCACACAGTTTCCAACTTACAGCATTACCTCACGTTTTTGCTTGTTACCTGATAGGAGAATCAACATCTTTACTTCCAGTATCTCGCGGAAAATCGAAGGAAATGAGAAACTTCCAGCTTCCCCCGTGTGCGACCGAGCGAATTTCGATTTCCCGAAATCAACATGTTTTGCTAGTTCGCCGGCACCCCGGCAAACTTTTTAATTACAACAAAATGCTATCTAACTAATTACACGGTATAGTTTCTGTGTGACGCCAACGCAGATTTTACATTTAGATAAAACCCTGCCAAAATTTCGTTTCCTGCGGCCGTAAATTCAACCGGTCGAGAGTTCCACTCGGATTAATTCATCTTTTTCTCTTGCCGGATTAAGTTTCTGTGGAAGATGACGTTGACGTGGTGGTGGTTTTCAGCTACATAGACAGTACGAACACAGTGCACAGTGCAGCGCAACCGCAGAACCAGGTACCCTAGACCAAGGTCCCAGTTGGCACCCGCTAACTGGAACCTTGACTAGGAGACTAGGAGAACCCTCGGTTGCTCCCCCCCCACGGCGAGGATGCAGAGGACGAGGACCAGGACGACCACGACCAGATCCCATCAGGACCAGGAACCACCAGGACCAGGACCCATCAGGACCAGGACCAACCAGGACCAGGACCAACCAGGACCAGGACCAACCAGGACCAGGACCAGGTAACATACTAGTAGTAGAGGACCTGAAACTCTTGATTTTTCGAAAACAAGAGTTTCAAGAGAACATAGCAAACCTATATCGATGCTCGCTTAACGACATCGATAGAACTGTGCGAGGTAAAGGGAACCAACCCGGCGTTCCCAGAGACTGAAATACATGAGGAGACGTTGTAGCAGACCGCAGGTCACGCACAACACATGGCTTACCGAGACGCTGATGAGTCGGGCCACGCGGAGGTTAGGGTTTAGTGGGTATTAGGTGGTCTCCTCAAGACAACCTGGAGTCCCACACACTCCGTAGCTCGGGCTATGGTATGGTGTATAAACGCATTCCCCCCTCACCAAAAAAAAAAAAAAGCAGTTCAATGGCTCTAAGTCCCAAAAGAAATCTTATGTGCTTTCAAATATTTTTTTTCATAAATTAGTACGTTGTAGATCTCAATTTTATAGAAAAAAAAGCGTCAATGGACACAAAGTTTTTCCTCGAGTAATTTTTCAGGTTGAGCAGCCCAGCGTAGTGTGGGTTCGGTACGCAACTGTATACTAAATTTAAAAACAAAGCTAAAAAAAACTGCTCCCCATAAGATTTTTTCGGGGTCTCTTCTACACTTTTACTTCATACGCTTACTGGTAAGGAAGTATTGTAATAGCACAACATTTCAAAAATCAGATATCATGTTTTTTAGAAGTTACATGAAATTTAACACACACGTTTGATTCACCTGACAATACACGGTTACTTCTACGCCACCATGTTCAAGCCAATGTGGCAGACGTTGCAAAATGGTGACTTATCATCATAGCAGTAACCTCAATGGAATGAGCATCGAATAAAAAAGCTTCATGTGTGAAACATAATAAGTAAATTGAAGAGATTATAAATTCAAAATGGCGGTCGTCGACTGCTATGATATTGATGTCAAATAAAATGGCGTGATGAGCGAAACATGGTAAACAAAGTGACGTCATTGTGAACTTAATATGGAGGACGCCTCAAAATGACGATTTATATTTTTAAGCCCTATAATATGGGTATCAAATTAAAAGGCTTGATAGGCGATATACATACAACGAGTAAAGAGATGTATTTATAAATGGCGAATGTACAACACGGTATGCAATATCATTATGACATGGAGTTTGATTCTTCTTTAAAGTACTCTGATACTACAGTCTGAAAATTGAGTTAGTCAGACTATTAGATATATAAATTAAATACTTATCTGTAATAACCATATACATTTTTAATTAGTTGGTTTGTTACAATATAGGTACGCTTTCTTAGCTGTCATAATAAAATAAAAAATGTTTAATGGAATCCTATACATGAGACGTACGTGAATTAGATAGAAATTAGTAGTAATAGTTGTAGTATTTGTGGGAAAGAGAAGCCAGGCAACTAGACCAATTTTGTTAATCGTTAATATTGCATCCATATGCGCGATATATATGACACACAACACAACATCCATGGCTCGAAATTAACTTTAAAGGCGGAGAATCGAACCCGCGAGCCCCAGATTGCTAGCTTGACGCTCTAACCACTGAGCTACCGAGGCTCCCTAGATAGAAATTACTGAACTAGTTAGTCAAGAGCATAAATACTAATAAATGAAAAGTGAATAAAAGAGAAAAAAGCTTTTAAAACAAGCTTTTACTAGCTGTTGATAAAAAAGAACTAAACACGTAACATACTTTTAGTTCTATTGTAAATAGAACGTTTTACACTTCTTAACCTGCGAACTATAATGAATATGTGAAAGTCAGGGCAAATCATAATTATGTATTTTCAAATCTTGAAAGATCATTATTGAATATTTGTGTACTTATCAAGGTCTTAAGTCCTCAATTGAAAGCGCGTTATATTTTAAAAGCAAAAGGAATCAAGGATGTAACGCACTTTTACTTTAAAACTTGAGATAAGTACACACGTATTTGATATATGGTATGAACTTACAAGATTTGAAAATATCCTAAGTATCGCTTAAAATTTAAGTATTTTTTTCCAATACGAATAAAATTATTTGTCTCGATGAGTGAGTTATAGCACTCCAAAAAAGACTTTTCCAAATACACCTCTGTATAGTTTTTTGCCTTCCCACACCATAATCTGCGTTCTACGTTCCTTCCAACGACTCTTCAGTGTACCGCTCCCTCAAACTACGATCGTATTAACCAGAAACGTTGTTCCATACGAACAAGCCTTTCCTACACGCCCACCTTTTGTTCGAGACCCCCCTTTTGCGTTTCAGGTCGGAGGAAAATCCAACGCTAACGCTGACGTTACTCCAGTATACTTCATGATGGAGGTGGAAGAAAATGGGTTTACCCAGTGTCAGTAAAAGTACTACTGACTTTGATGACGTTTAAAAAAACTAACGCAGTTAAATAATGGAGCATACTTATAGATTGTTTTGCTAACAACTAACCATAATGGTACTTCAAAAAATGCAATGGTTGGAGGTACCGACGAAAGAGTATCAACATGTAATACTTATTCTTTTAATAATGCAATCCTAGTAAGGAGAAATATTCCTAAATGAATGTTATTATTTAAGAGTGCAGTTTTTGAGTACATTTTAAGAAGAAAACTTATAATGAACGTATGTCTTAACCATTTGTGATACAGACTTTCCATAAAATTAAAAAAAATGTTCTGTTTTCATTTATGACCAGATTAGAACTCTTGACTCTGACGCACGGTTTTCTCCTAAAGGAATGAAGGATCTGTCTTTGCATGGTAATATTGTCAATATTAACGATATCTGTAGATAATATATATGTTCATGCACAGATCTTTATTAAGCGAAAACCATGCAACGGATTTGAAGAAAAAAACAAGCAATAGTATTTACTTAGAAATATTAGGGAATTTCAGAAATAATTTTATTTATTTTAAAGTAATCAGTGGCAGACATTGGAAGTCAATGTCTGGCAAAATAGGCAGGTGAAATTCCGTACGAACGCTACTGGTGGAAATTAAAAAAAAGTAGTACCTATATTAAAAATGTCTCGTGATAGATAAAATTGATTGAAATATCTGAAGTGTTATTTAGTGATATTAATAACTAATTTATTTTTTAAAGCTTCACCACCTTGTGTCTGAAAAGTTGGGATGCTGAGGACACAGGTTCATAAGAGGTTCTTCTTAAAATGGACCCAAAAATCACCCCCTTGAATATTGGCGTACAATAAGGAACATACTACTGCTTCTTGCGTTATATTCGAATCATTCAAAAATCTAAATTCTATTATGTTTCGTGGGTATTCTGCTGCAAGCAGGCGTGAATCTAGAGTTGAAGAGTATTCAACTTTATTTTCCTGATTGCTGACTCAATTTATCCATCATTATTAACATTAAGTTTTAAAAATTTCTGATTTCAACTGTTCAAACATCTAGTTTTTTGACTAGATACGGCCCTGTAAGATGAGGGTATGGATAATCCAGTAACGCCACTGATTTCCAGAAATTCGTCCTAGCTCACCAAATCAACCCCTTAATTGAATTATCGTTGCCTAGATACGAAACTGTGTTCTCGCTATAATTGATTGGAAAGGAAGTCTGGGTGTTTGCATTTAACTAAGGCAAGCTTCTAACGGAAGCTTCAATAAATAGTTCGAAACTATCAAGAAATTGGAACCCAGCGTGTATAAACTAAGAACTATTTTTTTAAGATTTTAGAAGACTCACTACTTACGAATACGTTATTCCTAGTCAGATTCCTTACCTGAAACACAAAAACAAAAAACAAGTCAGTTGAAGCAAATACTATCCGCAAAATATGCACATGTATAATTCATCTGAGCGTCCACAGGGCAGTAAGTGCCAAAAAATCTTTGAAAATTCAGTAAAAATACGGACGAGTGACCTTAGAAGCCTGGCCATGCATCAGTACAGCTAATGTTTACCTGAGTACCATTTTTCTGAAATATTTACAGTACAGAGTCTTACAGAATTATTGATGTTCCTATGACCGGTTGCATGGACTTGCTAAGGTCCACTTTAAGCTAAACTTAACCTTGACTGACGGTCAAGAGGTCTATAATTGGAGATTCAATGATTTTCTTCAACAATCTCGAACACGGATTTAGATGTCGCAGCAATTGATAAAATTGACGAAACAAATCTGCTGGTGTATGAGATTCCTCGCCAAATCTCTATAGAGAAGGATGCTTGGAGGGCTTTGTTAACAACTCATTTTTCATAGCTGCACTTTTTTAAGAGGCTGTCTTTCCCTTTTGTATTTTGACATCTTTATGATTTGAACTACTGACCTCTATCTGCAAAATTTTTGATAAATTAAAAACTGCGAATATGGAAAGTTCTTTCGAAATCCATCGTTAAGTGCTAAAAAGCTCCCGTGATTGCACATATTTATCAGAAACAATTACCAAATGTGGCTGATAAATTTCACCAAATTATTCCAATGTCTTTTAGGGATACCAAAACTGCAAAATGTTCTTGAACTGATCAGGACAGTCCAACGAAAGGAGCAAAAATAGATATCGTGTTCATATCAGCTAATTGTGTGCGGTACAGAGAAGAAATTACATTCAATGAATCTAAATAGAAATACATGGCGTGAAAGGAAACAGATAATCTATTCATTTGTACTTATAAACGTAGTTTTCTTAGAAAAGTTACTACAGACGTACTGTTTCGAGGTGTATCTTTACCTCACCCCAGTTTTGATCGGAGTAGCATTTGATGCTTAAGCAATGGCGCTTCGCACGAATTCGAATCATCTGTAGAGATTTGTTGGTTAGAAAATGTAAACGGGATAATGGTGGTATGAATATTTATGAGCCTCCACAATCATAGAGTGCAAAGAAATTTCCTGAACAGCTAAATTTCATATCATACGAGTATATGGGCGATGCGAGAACCGGTGGTTGGTCATTTCAAGATCGTGGATGGGAGGGAGAGCAATCTCGCCATGTCTTCGGTGACAGTGAAAAAAACCAAGAGCACCATAAGGTCAGGTTCGGAATATATACTAATTCTGCCTACTAGGGAAGAATTACGGAGAAATCGCATTCCCACCTCAGTGTCTCGTGTGCTTTACTGACGGATCCTTTTCCCAGGAAACGGGATCCAGTGGGGCGGGAATATTCTTGGAAGGCAAAGGTATGAAGGAAAGTTTTGCGCTTGGAACCTGAAGGCAGACATATTTGCCGTCTTAATGATAGAGAAAATTCAGGAGGCGGGTGGCAGGTGACGAAACCGCTTATGCTGGGTGTCCCGAATCCTACCAGCGGTTTCTAGAGCTTAAAATAGGAAGAAAAGTTCATATAGACATAGCTCGACAAACGTCCCCTAAGGGCGCTACAGTCTTTTAAAGGGGCTCCCCTGAAGATGGTTTTTCCTTAATATTTCCACAACGTGTTGAGATAAAGACATAAATTTGGTATTCTAGCCTAGTTTTTATGCTGAATTTAAAAATATTAACAATTTTAGAGAGTTTTGTTTGGAAGCGTATGTAACAGGGACGGACTCAGGTTATTTTAGCCCCAAAATTTTTGTGTGATTCTATTTTTGAAATTCAATTTTAGAATTTGAAAATTTAGGGTTTTCCACATAAAAAAAGTACTCTTATTGAATATCGATGAATTGTGCCATTTTTGAATAAAATCAAACTAAAAAATTTGTCACATGATGGGAAATGTACTGCGAATTTAAATGATTTGTTGATTATACATGCTAGCCATGACTGCAAACAAAAGATGTTTTGATTTGTTATGACTTATTTTGACGTTAAGCTGACATTGTTAGCAGTGTAAAATTACTAGATTGAAAATCAAAATTTTTATTAAATCGATTTAAAATGCCAAGATTTACAGACAGAGAACTGACTGACATGCATTTTGTATACAAGATTTGCAATGGCAGTTCATTGGCAGCCGTAAAAGTATATAAAAGAAGATTTCCCAATCGCATAAGTACCTGGACGTCGAATGTTTACTGATATTCACCGGAATTTGTCAAACCATGGAAGTTTTCAGCGCATGCAGAGCTCAGGAAGGCCACTGGGAAATCATCGTATGGATATTGCTTTAAATATGTTTGAAAATAATCCTCAAATAAGCATACGAACTGTTTCAGAAATTATGGATATACCTCGATTAATAGTAAGAAAAATTTATGAATACCTATTTGATAATTATCCTAAAAATAATAATTTTAGATAGGAAGAATGACAAGAATGCAAGGATTACATCCTTATCATTTTAAACGGGTGCAGCATTTAACGGAGGCAGATTTTTTACCACGAATCGAGTTTTGCCAGTGGATATTAGCAAATGAAAACACTATTCCTAGAATATTATGGTCTTATGAGTCAATATTTACTAGGAATGCTGCTTTTAATTTCCATAATATGCATCACTGGTCAGATGAAAATCCAAAAGTTGTTCGCCGTACAAATTTCCAGCATAGATTTTCATTGAACTTATTATCAAGTAATTGGGCCTATTGTACTTCCCAATCGTCTTAATTCAAAGGTGTATCTGAACTTTCTTCAGAATGAGCTCATGGATATAATACCATTGGATGTGCGCCA